GAGACAATGTTTCATTCAGTAGGTAGACCTGACTGGATCAGAACTCTCTAGCCTTCTGCCTCAGCCTCCCAAATGAATTGGAGTTTGCCATCATGAGAAGCTCAGACATCAGTTTAATGATATAATAAAATTTCTTTCTTTCTTTCTTTCTTTCTTTCTTTCTTTCTTTCTTTTTCTTTCTTTCTTTTTTTTTTTTTTTTTTGACAGTGTTTCTCTGTGTGTAGCCCTGGCTATATTAGAACTCACTCTGTAGACCAAACTGACCTTGAACTCACAGAGATCTGCTTACGTCTACCTCCCAAATTCTGGGATTAAGGGCATAGACTACCACCACCCGGCATAAACAGTTTATTAATCAGGGCAGGAGATATGGGTCAGTGGTAGAGGGCTTGTCTAGCATGTGGTAGGCCCTGGGTTTGATCCCCTAGTACTGGAGAAAGGGGGTGGGGTAGAGAGAAGAGGAAGAAGAGGAGAAAAGAAAAAGTCCAGGTTTATTATGATTATATCTCTTTGTAGAAGTGTGTGTAATATTGAAAGAAAAACAAAACTCTTTCCAAGCTAATTTGCTCTCTCCACGAATTAATAAACCACAGTCTTATCTTGCCTGAACCTCAGGGCGCTAAGAGAGCTCTAACCCCCTTCTGCACAACTGGGACCGTGCCTAGCCGTGTGACCACGCCCACCACCTTCTGCACAGACAGGTGCAGTGGCCACCAGGGATGCCTGACTCTTTGGAGGACCCTAGGGATTCAGTTTGGTTTCTCAAATCCCCATCCCCCATTTCTAAAACACATATCCAAGAAACCGAGTCGGCAAGAGGCTCTCAGCGGCCTTTTCTCCAGCCGGTTAAAACCATAGCAACAGGGTACCTTCCCCGAAAACTCCGGAATGTTCCAGCAATAGTTTTCTGAGTGTTGGTGGGCACCGGGTGCCACTCTGCAAAGCTGAGGCTTATGGCTAGGAAACAGTGCCACCCTATGGCACCCAGCTCTGAAGAGCTCATGCACAGGTTCTATGAGGCTGGGATGTTGAGGAGAAAAAGAGAGAGAGAGAGAGAGAGAGAGAGAGAGAGAGAGAGAGAGAGAGAGAGAGAGAGAGAGAGAGAGAGAGAGAGAGAGAGCCAGCCAACCCAGACTTCAGCGATGCTGCGCCAGGACCAAGCCCACCACTCTTTCCAATCAGTATTTTTGCACTACGACTTCAGCACAGCTCAGACACTGGACAGCAGCCTCAGAGACAGTTGTCCTGACTCTGGTCCATCTTGGCAAAGGAGGATCTGGAAGTTTCCAGGGCATACAACTGGGATGTGGCAGAGTCCGCCACCAGAGGCTACGTCCAGACACCAGGCTCAAAGAGCTTCCCCGAACAGTCTGTGAAAGGCACTCACAGAAATTGCACTCAAAAATCAAAATAGGACATCATTTTCTTCCTGCATGAAGTTTACAAGTGGAGCCGTGGAGGTCAGAGTTTAGACAGAAGCAGGCAGCCACGGTGGTGCAGGTCTGCCATCCCCCAGCACCCAGAAGGCCGACGCGGGAGGGCTGAAAGTTTGACGTCAGTCTGGGCTATTATACAGCAAAGCCCCATCTCAAAATTAAGAGGAGACTCTTTATTGCAGAGAATTATAAACTCACAGTTTCAACAGAGAGCTCCCAGCTGGGTCAAACAGCAATGTCTCAAAGCACGACAGCCATGGCCCAGCCCCCAAGGCTCTCTCTGCTGTAGTTCCCAACTCACTAGCATTGCTGTTTTTCCGAGTGTGTCTGTATTCATATCTGTATCCCCAGTTCCACGAGACATGGGCACCACCACCATGAGGACCCCAACGCACATAGCCAGGGCCCCCGTTGTCCCCCCTCCTTGCTGCGGCCCCCAAACCCCAGTCTGTCCTGTGTGTCTGCAATTTTCTCATTGCAAGGCCATTACATAAGCAGGGCCTCGTGGTGTGTGAGCCTCCTGGGATTGGCTTCTTTCCACTCCATGCAACCCTCACGAGACTCATCCCGCTTGTGTATGAAAACTCTGTGTCTTCTTATTGCTAAACAGTATTCCACCTCCTGGGACTTTCAGAGAAGACAGCAGTTTATTTTGTTCACTGATTTATTCTGGTTTGTTGAGGCAGGGTCTCACTTTGTAGTCTAAGCTGGGTTGAAGCACACTATCTACTCCAGGCTGGCTTCTAAATCACTTTGCAGCCCAGGCTGGATCTGAACTCACTATGCAACTCAAGCAGACCTAGAACTTACTAGGGCTTCCCAGGCTGGGCATAAACTGTTCACCCTCCTGCTTCTGCTTCCCTGGAGTTGGAATGTCAAGTGTGTATACCACGATGCCCAGCCAAGAGGGGAGTTTTAAAGAGTTATGACCCACTTTTAGCTGACGAGCAATCTACTCTTCTGGAGTCCTTGGCACACTCACAAATAAATTCATGGGCAGCTCCAGAATCTGACAAATTCAACATTATATTTGGTATCGTGTGGGTTTGCTATTGTTGTTGTTTTATTGTGGGTTCTTTGGTTTTGGTTGTTATTGTTGCTGTTTGAGACAGGATTTCTATGTGGAGCTCCGGCTAATCTCAAACTCACAGAGATCCACCTGCCTCTGCCTCCCGAGTGCTGGAATTAAAGGCGTGCGCCACCACCGCCCAGCTGGGTTTTTCTTTTTAAGACTTATTTATTTATTATGTATACAGTGTTCTGCCTACATGTATGCCTGAAGGTCAAGAGAAGGCACCAGACCTCATTATAGATGGTTATGAGCCACCAGGTAGTGTAACATGAGGGCCTGCTTGTTGGGGTTTCTGTCCTGCCCAGTTTCCACAGCTGGTAAATCCCAAAGAAAATCACACAGAGGTCTACATAATTTATAAACTGATTGGCCCATTAGCTCAGGCTTTGTATCAGCTCTTATAACTTATATTAACCCATTATTCTTATCTATGCTAGCCATATGGCTCGGTACCTTTTTCAACGGGGCAGGTCACATTCTGCTTCTTTGGTGTCTGGACAGGACTATGGAAAGAGCTTCGTTCTTACCAGAATACTCCTATTCTCATTGCCCCACCTCTACTTCCTTTCTGGTTTTCCCTCCTATACTTCCTGCCTGGCTACTGGCCAATCAGCATTTATTTAAAATATAATTGAGAGTATAGAACTGTCCCGCAGCAAGGTGGTTGCTGGGAATTGAACTCAGGACCTTTGGAAGAGCAGCCAGTGCTCTTAACCCCAGAGCCATCTCTACAGCTCTTTTTTTTTTCTTAAGATACGTTTTCACAGTGTAACCTGGCTGACCTGGAAGTCACTATATAGACCAGGCTGACCTCGAACTCACAGAGATCTGCCTGTCTCTACATCTCAAATGCTGGAATTAATATTGTATCTTTCTTTTTTAATTTATTTATTTATTATGTATACAACATTCTGCCTGCATGTATGCACACCAGAGGAGGGCGCCAGATCTCAGTACAGGTGGTTGTGAGCCACCATGTGGTTGCTGGGAATTGAACTCAGGACCTCTGGAAGAGCAGCCAGTGGCTCTTAATCACTGAGCCATCTCTCCAGCCCTGTATCTTTCTTAAAACATGAAGGTAGTGGGAGGTCCATGCCTTTAATTCCAGCACTCAGGAGGCAGAGGCAGATGGATCTCTGAGTTGGAAGCCAGCCTGATTTACAGAGTGAGTTACAGGAGAGCCAGGACTACACAGAGAAACCCTGTCTCAAAAAAAAAAAAAAAAAAAAAAAGAAAGAAAGAAAGAAAGAGAAAAGAAAAAAGAAAAAAGAAAGAAAGGACAGAAGGAAAGGAGGGAGGGAAAAGGAAGGGAGGGAGGAAGGCAGGCAGAAGCTAGGTGCTGTGGCTCATGCCTGTAACCCTAGTATAATGAAGGTTTGCCTTGAGTTTCAGGCCAGCCTGGGGTACATAATAAGGCTGTCTTAGTTAGGGTTTCTAATGCAGTGAAGAGACACCATGACCATGGCAACTCTTATATGGAAAACATTGAACCGGGGCTGGCTTAGTCTGCTATTGTCATGGCAGGAAGCATGAAGACAGACAGGGTGCTAGAGAGGCAGCTGAGAGTTCTGCATCTGGATTAGCCAGCAGCCAGAAGAGACAGACTCTGGCCCTGGCTTGAGCATTTGAAACCACAAAGCCCCTCCCCAGTGGCACACTTCCTCTAACAAGCCCACACCTACTCCCTGTCAAGCAGCACCACTCTCTAATGACCGAGCATCCAAATACATGAGCCAATGGGGGCCAGTTTTGTTGTTGTTGTTGCTGCTGCTGCTGCTGTTGTTTTTCCAAGACAGGGTTTTTCTGTGTAACAGCCCTGACTGTCCTGAAACTCACTCTGAACACTAGACTGGCTTCAACCCTACAGAAATCCACCTGCCTCTGCCTCCCCAGTGCCCGCATTAAAGGTCTGTAATAAAACACCAGCTAGGCCATTCTTATTCAAACCACCACAGAGATCCTGTTTCAAAAAACACCAGAGGAGGGGTCAGGGAAACAGATCAGTGGGTAACTTGATGAGACAGCCTAACAACTTGAGTTTGAGCCCTTGAACCCGCATGAAGGTGTCTTCTGACCTCCAATGCACACCAGGCTGCCCCATCCTTCCCCACCCCACACCATACACACAAAGCAGACACAATCCTAATAAATAAAATAGCCCAGAATGGTGGTGCATGCCTTTAATCTCAACACTTGGGAGGAAGAGGCAGGTGGGTCTGTGTGAGTTCAAGGCCAACGTGGCCTTCATACAGAGACCCTGTCTCATAAAAACCAAACAAAATAAATAAAAACAATATAAAAGTTAAAACCAGCCAGATGCTTTAATCCCAGCACTAGGGATGCAGAAGCAGGTGAATATCTATGAGTCTGAGGCCCAAAAGAAGAGGGGTAGAGAGGAAGGGAGGGGTGACCTCAAAGCCATGCACAGAGGCGCTTCTTTGTAGTCTCAGCTCTTTGATTGAGGTCAGAAGATTAGGAGTTTAAGGTCAGCCCTGGAAACTTAGGGAAATCTAGTCTCAAGGTAAAACAACAGCCACCACCACAACGGTAATAAAGAAGTTCGACTCAAGTAGGCAAAGCTTCTTTGAAGCGTTACCACGTCTTATTAACCTGCAATTAAATAATCCCCCAATACATTAAAAGCTGTGGACGCCATCTTTATTGTTTCTCTTTAAAGTTATTTACACAAAGGGTGGAACTTACATCTTATTTCTGTGTTCTTTTCTTTCTCCCTGGGCTGAAAGGCACTGCCCATTCGTCTCTTCCATCGTCTGTTTTCTTTATTGTGCCAAGGCTGTAATATATGGGCTTATTTTATTAGCTTGTTCCTTCTATTAAATTATGTTCACACAAGATTTGCAAGAAAAATAGCTGCTCGGCTTACTTGGGAATTAGAGACTTAATTTGGGAGGTCGATTCTCACTTACAAATTCAGTCGCTAAAGTAAAGAGTCAGAGAACTCTTTTGCCAGGGGGCAAAGAAGATGCCTGGGACATTGGGTCTCACCCTTTCTCTAACTGATAAGAGTATCTGGAAAAAAATGTTTTCCTTAGACATCTTCAAGTGCAAGGGATAGAGACGGGAGGGAGCTGTGGCAGGAGCAGGTGCCTGAGGTACACACACAGATTCTCAAGCATGCTAGAAGAGCGCTGTATCATTGGGTCACACCCCAGCCCCTCACTGGGGGATTCTAGGCAGGTGCTCTACCACTGAGCCACACCCCAGCCCCTCACTGGGGGATTCTAGGCAGGGCCTCTACCACTGAGTCACACCCCAGCCCCTCACTGGGGGATTCTAGGCAGGGGGCTTCTAAGTACACTTTCCCTTGATGAGTTATACCCCAAGCCAGAGCCTTTGTGTGTTTGTTTTGGGGTTTTTTGTTTTGTTTTGTTTTTTGTTTGTTTGTATATTGAGACAGGGTCTCTCTCTCTCTCTCTCTCTCTCTCTCTCTCTCTCTCTCTCTCTCTCTCTCTCTCTCTCTCTCTCTCTCTAGCTCTGGCTATCCTGGAACTCCCTCTGCTCCACCTGCATTTGCCTCCTGAGTACTGGGTTTAAAGGTGCACACCATCACCACCTGGCTCTTTTTTACTTTTCGAGACCGTGTTTCACTGAGTTACCCAGGCTGGCATTGAACCTCCCTCTGTATTCCAGTCCAGCCTTGAACTTTCTGTGCTCCTTTCAGTGCTTCAGCTCAGCTTGGCAAAGAGCTGGGATGAAAGCCTATGCCACCAGGAAGAGCTCTTACTTCAAATCCTTCTCATCTGTAACTGAGGCTCCTGCTGCCTCTGCCCACTGAATGGTCTCTACCCCTTCCACCCAACTTACAGGCAGGCCACCAACCAGGCATCCATTCTTCTGCAGGTTTGCTGGGCGGGGCTTAGGGATGGCAGAGGCCTGGGTTAAGTCCACCAGACCTGCTATGTAAAGCCACTGAATGGAGCTATTAATGTACACACATAACACACACACACACACACACACACACACACACCAAGGGGCTTCCCATAAACAACACTGTGTCGCATGCAGGGGTCTATTATCTCAGGTTCCTGGCAGAGAAATTGAGGCAGACAAGGGTTCACTGTGAGTTAATGGCTCCTGAGTCTTACAACCATCACCTGCTGCTCCACGGCTGGATTGCAAGCTCACCAGAGTAGGAAAGGTGTCATCCCTGACAGCCCAGGACCAGCCTCCCAAGCAGCATGCTCCCAGGAGACTGCTGAGTGGCTAATGCTGGCTTCCAATCACGTGGCAGCTGCCCAGCAACCATCTGTGAGTATGCCCAAGGGGAGAGACTGACACCCAGAGCTCAGAGCGCGGAGTTCAAACGGTGGGAACTGAAGAGAAAGGAAGGAATGGAAGTGGGTAGTTGGAGGAAGGGAGAACATACAGGGGTCATCAAAAGCTCCGCAGTCATTCCGACAAGTGTTCCGCAGTTGAGATTCCTCCACGCCGTGGCAAAGTCCGCCGTTGCAAAGCTCCGGAGTAGCGTGGTGGAAGGTGACTCTGGCCCCTGCAGAGGAAGGCGAGTCCTTGCTCTGGTCGCCCAGGGATAGCAGCTAGTGATAGCAGCTTTCCTGCGGGCTTGACTCCAGGCTGTCCATTTGAACCCATGTCCTGACGGGCTCTGGCCACTAGGTGGCAGGCGCTAGATGGGTTGGAAGTTTCCCTGCAGGTTTTGCACCAAAAGTAGAAGCAGAAAGAACTAACCTCACCAACGGATGGTCGGGGCTGGAACCCTGGAAATGAGCAGTTTAGACCTAAGGATTTATCCTGAAGAGCGAGCTTCAACAACCTACCAACAGTATTTCTGGATTTTTATTTTATTTTCTTTAATAAAAAATTATTTTGCTGGTTGGCTAGTGGTACAGACCTTTAACCTCAGCCGAACTCGGGAGGCAGAGGCAGGCTGATCTCTGTGAGTTCGAGGCCAGCCTGGCCTACCGAGTGAGTTCTAGGAGAGTCAGGGCAGTTACACAGAAAAATCCTATCTCAAAAAAAAAAATTATGCATGTGGGTGTTTCGCCTGCATGTATGCACCACGTGTGTGCCTGTGGAGGTCAGAAGAGAGTGTCAGATCCCCTGTAATAGGAGTTACAGACAGTTAACCACTGAGCCATCTCTCCAGTACCTATTTTATATTGAGACTAGGTGCTTCTGTGTAGTCTGCGCTAACCTCAGTCATGCAATCCTCCTGCCTCAACCTCCTTAGTGCTGGATAACAGGTCAGTGCCTTCCTCTCTCCTGGTCAGTAGGGGTATTTCCAAGTCACTGGGTGTGGGCACTATGGCCTAACAGAGAGTGTTCACCCAGAAGACACTGGGGAGATTGGATTGGTCAACTTTTGGTTTGCAGAAGCCTCAAGTTGCTCTGAGTCAGACCTGGCAACATTGGAGTCTTCCCAGTAGAAAACTGATTTCCTATCCTAAACAAACTCTCTGGGGCAGTAGGAGGCAGATCTCAACTTCACCAGAGACTCTGACCATTGCCTTTAATTTTAGTAAAAAAAAAAAAAAAATTGATGGCCGGGCGATGGTGGCGCATGCCTTTAATCCCAGCACTCGGGAGGCAGAGGCAGGCGGATCTCTGTGAGACCAGCCTGGTCTACAGAGCTAATTCCAGGACAGGCTCCAAAGCCACAGAGAAACCCTGTCTCAAAAAAAAAAAAAACCCAAAAAATATTGAGGGGCTGGAGAGATGGCTCAGCGGTTAAGAGCATTGCCTGCTCTTCCAAAGGTCCTGAGTTCAATTCCTGGCAACCACATGGTGGCTCACAACCATCTGTAATGAGGTTTGGTGCCCTCTTCTGGCCTGCAGACATACACACAGACAGAATATTGTATACATAATAAATAAATAATTTTTTTAAAAAAAATATTAATTGAATAGTTGTGGTGGCCCACAGCACTGCATCCCTGGGCACTCTCAAGGCTGACTCAGTAGATCCTGAGTTTGAGGACAGCCTAGCCTGTCTCAAAATTTCAACTCCCCCTACATAGAAAATATTTATTGGTTTATAAAATTATTTTCATATTATCAAAAAGTGGAAATGATCCAAAAATCCACCCAGAGATAAATGAATAAGTAAAATATGGTATCACTAAACAGGAATAGTATGCAGTGGGAAAAAGAAATGGGTACTGATACTTGGCTCATGGGTTGTATTAGTCAGGATCCTCTAGAAGAACAAAACTTATAGAATGTGTGTGTGTGTGTGTGTGTGTGTGTGTGTGTGTGTGTGTGTGTGTGTGTGATTTATTAGAATGGCTTACAAGCTGTGGTCCAGCTAGCCCACCAATCGCTGTCTGCCAATGGAAAGTCTAAGAATAATCCAGTAGTTATTCAGTCCATAAAGCTGGATGGCTCAGCTGGTCAGCTGGTCTTCAGTATGCACCAGAATCCAGAACTCGGCCCTAATGCCAGTGAAGGAAGGGACTTGCTAGCGAGAGCAAGAGAAGCAGGCAGAGAGCAAGCTTCCTTCTTCCATGTCCTCTATCTAGGCTGCCAGCAGAAGCTGTGGCCTTCTGCTAGTAAGAGTGTGCGTGTGTGTGCGCGTATGTGTGTGCGTGTGTGTGCATGTGTGTGTGTGTTTTGTAGGGGTGGGGGTACTGTAGGACCCAGCCATGACAAACTCAACAGAGGCCTGAGTCTCAATAGTTTACCATAATGCAGTACCTGGTTCCAAGAAAAACCACAAACTGAGACCACCCAGACACCACCCAGGAACAGACCATCCAAACGAAATTCCTAACGTTCCAACCAGTGTACATAGGATTGCTTGCCAGCACACTCACCAGGACACCCCTGGACAAATGTTAGCCAATCAGGGGTCCTGAACCTTAGAAATCCCTCACCCCACACACACCTTTGCTACTATAAAAACCCTACCCTAACTGAGCTCGGGACGCTCCGACCACTCCATACGTTGCACACACGGAGAGTCTGAGTTTGCAAATCTAAGAATAAAACTCTTTGCTTTTACATACATGACTTGGTCTCCTAGTTGGTTTCGGGGTCGGGACTCTGTGATCTGGGCGTCACAGTGCATGCATATGTGTACACGCATCCTCTGGTGTCCTTTCTCGGGCACTGTCCACCTTTCTGAGACAGGTTTCTCACCGAGTCTGCAGCTTACTGATTCGGCTACAACCGGCTGGCCAATGAGCTCCAGGGACCCACCGTGGCATTACAGGCATCCACCGCCAGATCAGCCTTTTTGTTTTTTGTTTTTTGTAGCCAGGGATTATAGACTATTGAATTTAGGCTGACAGGTTTACAAGGCAAGCACCTTCCCAGCTGAGCACCTCCTGCTTTGGGGTTTGTTGTTGCTCTTTTTGTCTGGGGCTTTTGTATGTTTGTTTGTGAGTTGGGTCTGAGGTAGCCCAGGTTGGTCTCAAACAGTGCTGTGTGGCAGAATGACCTTAAACTCCTGCCTCTCTGGCCTTCACCTCCAGAGTGCTGGGATTACAGGCGTGTGCACGTGACTGCTCCTGGCTTTTGAAGTGTTGGGGATGGAACCCAGGGTCTTGGGCGTGCTAGGGTTTACTGAAGGGACCACATCTCTTGGCCCTACCTTTGTCTTATTCTTGAGATAGAGCCTCACTACGAAGCTCAGGCTGGTCTCCGGCTCACAAGCCCTCTACTTCAGCCTCCTGAGTGCTTGGCTTCTGGGTGGATGCCACCTCGCCCAGTGCTGGGAATGAGGCATCTCTCTGATTCTTCTTCCATCCTACCTCACCCTTTACCTTCAGAACGAATCCCTACAGGGCACATTACCTAATTCTTCACAGATGTAGATCACACAAAGCACACTCACTTTCCGTCTTAAAAACAGTATCTTTGGCAATCTCCAGAGCGGCTCACCGGTGTGTCTCCTGTTGTCATCTAGGCTTGACTGTCCAAGATCAAATCCTGCTTGCCAAGCAATTTTCCAGATAAATCCTCCCACATTGCCGGCGATTGTGTCTCCACAAAGGGCGCTAAGCTAACCGTGATCTTTCCCAAACGACGCTGCGCGCGGATCACTTTCCTGCCTTTAGAATCCTCGTCCCTCGCTGGCAGCGTTCTAAAAATATCAGCTGAGCCACCGGCTAATTTTTAATCCCCGTTTCTGCTACTATTGACAGATGGGACGTTCATCTCTACCCTTTGTCCTTCCCCGATTAAGCAATTATAATCTTTTCCTGACAATCTGAGTGTTGACGGTATGAGAGTCTGGCTGCACCGAGAGACTGGGAGGGATTCTTGCCGACAAGAGGCTCAGATTAGCTCAGCTACCGGCAACTGCAGGAGGTTTTTATTCTCTCCCTCATTCCCCTTCTCCTTTCTTCTTTTTATTTGGTGTGTGTGTGCACGCGCGCATGTGTGTGCATGTGCGTGTGTGTGTATGCATGTATGTTGTTGCACATGCATGTGGAGGCTAAGGTGGATATGGGTAAATCACCCTTGTTCATCTTCCACCTTACCCATTGAGGCAAAGTCTCTCAGTCAAGCCTAGGGTTCACCCATGTCACTGCCTCGGGAGTTTGCTCTGGGGAGTCCCTGTCTTTGCATTAGAAGGCTGGAATTGCAGAATTGCCCAGCCAGCACTTCCATGGGTTCTGGACATAAGAACTCAGGTCCTCATATTTGCAGGGTAAGTGTTTTAACTATTGAGTCATCTCTCCAACCCCGGGCTTGGAAGATGACTTAGTGCGTGAAGCAAGCATGAGGACCTGAGTCCCATCCTCCAGAATCCTGTAAAAAAAAAAAAAAAAAAAAAAAAAAAGCCTAATGCAGGCAAATCCTGGATACAATTGCAGGGTTGAGGAGGCAGAGACAGCAGGATCCTTAGGCTTACGGAATCCCAGAACCCATGTAAAAAGTTGAGCAGACACCTATATAGTCAGAAGATGGCACTGGATCCCCTGGAACCAGAGTTACAGGTGACCAAGCTGTCATAGGGGTTTAGGGAATTAAATGCAAGTCCTCTGCAAGAGCAGCAAGTGCTCCTAACTGCCGAGCCATCACTCCAGCTCACGGGTAAAGCGGGTCTAAACTCCAACCTTCACGGTTGCACTCAAAGGATGCTGCTTTACCAAAAGCTCCCCTAGGATGGAGAGCAACCCTGGAAAGCTGCACCCCTGGAGTCTCCACCCCAGTCACCCTTTCCATCTCCCGCATACTCCAGAACCCCCAAGACCATGTAGGGGTCAGAAAGGAGCAGTGGCTGGAGTTCCAGGTGGGGGCTGCTGAGCACATGATCACACTCCATCACAGTCGGGAAGCAGAGCCAGGACGGGGCTTTGGAGATGACAAGAGAGGCACAAGCTTAGAGCACATGAGCTTCCATGTGATGAACACTGCGCCGGGCTATCGGTCCATCACGTGGGGAGGGTATAGTGCTGCGGCTGTGCCCGTGGTGGCGGGAGCTCACAGCACTGTTTTCTCACGTTGTGGTTCTGGGGGCAGATAGGGCTGGCAGCAGCTGCACTGGCCTCTCCCTCAGGGACCCCCTTCCTCCACCAAGGCCCTACCCACCTCCTGAGAGTTCCACAACCTTCCAAAACAGTGCTGCCATCTGGGCACCAAGTGTCCAAATCAGGAGCCTGTTGGGGAACTTTTTACACCCAAACCTAACAGTACATAGACGGAGGAAACAAACCTACCTGTAGGACTTCATACCATCTCTGCTCCGTTTTTGACATCTATTCAGGGGTCTCAGGATATGACTATGTGGGTAAGGGGGAATGACCCTATTACTTTATCTGTGCACTCAAGGGACCACCAAGAGACAAGAATTAGAATAAGGGGTACAGATGGGGCTCACTGTTTAGAGCACTAGAGCTCTCCCAGAAGACCTGGGTTTGGGCCCTGGCATCCACCCCAGGTGGCTCATAATTGTCTGTAACTCCAGTTCAATGGGTTCTAACGCCCCCTCCTGGCCTCTGAAGGCACCTGCAGGCATGTGATGCACATACAGTCCAGCAGACACACACACACATGCATATAAAATAAAAATATATAAAGAGTTTAAACAGACAGAAGGAGGTAAGTCAGCATGACTTCAAACCAGCTCAATCCAGTCCTGGCTAATGATGGCAGCCTAGCCTCCCGGTGTGGTTATTTATGACACCCTCGGGAGTTGAGTAACTGCCAATTATGATTGCGGAGAGCAGGTAAAGCGTCTTAAAGGAGTTTTATGCCTCTCCCGTGAAGGGGAGCATCAGGCAAATGGGGAGGAATGGGCCTCTGTGAATGGGACGCTCAATCTCAATGTGTGCGCAGAACAGAAGGCTGCACCCTGCGACGCCTACCCCACTTCCCGGGGTGAGGAAGGCGGGGGCCTGCCACCCACTCAACTCGGAAGGGAAGCAGGTGTAATGACTCATTCCTCTCATTTGTGCCTGTTTTTATTGAGCGCCCTTCTCTGTCTGCCTGGATCTGTTTGCATCCGGCAGATGTGACGCCATGTCTTCTTCGGCGTCCTGGCATCTTCTGTCCTTCTCCCCTGCCTGGACTTAACAGGAATGGATTTCAGGCCCAGGGATTCTAATGAGTGCTCCGTGCAGCAGAGGGGACGCACTTGGCACGGGGAGCCAGTGACAAACGATGTGACTGACACCAAGGGAGCAGGGGCACTTGTGTACTGAGATGCAAGAGTTAGGTGGCAGCAACACATGGAAGGTGGCTGTGTAGGTGATAAGGGGCCAGACTGTGTCCATGTTGATGCAGGCAGACAATGGTCCACTTCAGAAACCTGAACCAGAAATGTCAGTACCATAGAGTTCAATTCTCCATCACTGAAGATGGCAGCCATCACCTGCATCTGCCTTGCCTGGACAGAGCCACACATCAGATAACAGCAGTTCTGATAGACTTTGTCTCTTTATATTTGGCTACTGGCCATAAAATTCCAGCCTGGGCTGGGGACATGGGCCACCAGTAGATCACTTGCCTGAATTCCCCAAGTCAGGGACCGAGTAGAACACCTGCCTAGAGTCCCCCAGTGAGGGGCTGGGGTGTGGTTCAGTGGTAGAGCCCCTGCCTAGAATCCACCAATGAGGGGCTGGGGTGTGGCTCAGTGGTAGAGCACCTGCCTAGAATCCCCCAGTGAGGGGCTGGGGTGTGGCTCAGTGGGNTGAGGGGCTGGGGTGTGGCTCAGTGGTAGAGCACCTGCCTAGAATCCCCCAGTGAGGGGCTGGGGTGTGGCTCAGTGGGAGAGCACCTGCCTAGAATCCCCCAGTGAGGGGCTGGGTTGTGGCTCAGTGGGAGAGCCCCTGCCTAGAATCCCCCAGTGAGGGGCTGGGGTGTGGCTCAATAGGTAAAACACTTGTCTTATATACACAAAGCCTTAGACACTATCCCCAGTTCTAGAAGGAAAAACAAAAACAAGCAGAATCCAGTCACCTAGCAGTTGACTGTCTAAGATCTCGGGTTTTACCTGTCAACAGTTGTCCATGTGCAGGGTGGGGAGGAGCTGGACAAACAAGGAGAGCAGAGCCTTCTCATGGCAGGTGATCCTGGGAGCCCCCTTCTTGTTTCTGACTCAGAGGCCCGCCAGGCAAGGCTTGGTAATTTATGACCACAATTAGTATCTGTTGTCACTGCTTAGTGGCTGGCAGAGGAGGGCATGGGAGAACTTTCCAAAGCTCACTCAAAGGATCCTCTGGGGCTGTGGGGATGGTGACAGGAGCCTGGCAGGGCCTGCTTGCCCAGGAGGTCTGCACCTGCCTCCCTCTGCCCTCTTTCTCTCGGGACCAGCCTTACTCCTCCCTGCTTCTTCCTCTACCAAACAGAGCCCTGGGTCTGATCTGGGTGGAGCCAGGACAGCAGGACGCACCCACTCCGGTCAGCGACCAGCTCAGCATGTGGCTTGACAAAGGCCCATGGACAGTTCTGAGGCTAACTGGACATCCTGGGAGAGCTGAGGAGCAGACCCTCTGGCATCTCAGCCCTCGGGCACAGGCCCGTGCTTTCCTGAGACCCCAGGGTCACTGGTTCATGGCATGTGCACATAGCTGCAGCACTCTGATGGCTGAGGCAGGAAGACAACCATTCATCCAAACCAGGCTCCATACTCAGCTCCAGGCTAACCTGAGATACACAGTGCGATACTGTCCCAAATAGAGTAGTACATAGATAGATGAACAAAGGCTGGGGAAATGGCTCGATCAGTAAAGTGCTTGCTATTTTCCATATGAGGACCTGTTTGATCCCCAACACCACGATGTTTTAAAGGTGGCAATGCCAGTACTGGAGTGGCAGAAACAGATGGATCCTTGGAGCTCACTGGCCAGCCAGCCCAAGATAGGTGGAGAACAATTGAGGGAGACACCAAAAGTGCACCTACAGTCTTCACAGCCATGTAGTACAGCACATATTCTTATGCGCAAGAGCCAGGCATAAACAAATATTATAGAGTTGTTCACGGCAATGGTCCTTGAGGTGATGCTGACCGCTGGCATCAGCTGAGTGTTCTGGGGAGGTTAGGGTCTTTGGAGAACCCCCAGCCTTCTGTGTCTGCGGCAAATCTGTGATAAGGACCTCTCCTGTGATATGCACCTCTTGTGGGCAACTTCTCTGAACGGTGGCCACAGAGGCTTGTCCCTTTGCACATCTCTGCTTTCGACCTGGTTCCACCCCTTTTCTGCCTGCACTGGGCTCTGCCCTGACAGAAGCTCTCTCTCTGTATGTCTGTCATCCATCCATCTACCTACCAATGTACATATCTCTCATCCATCTCTTCATCTGTCCATATGTTCATTAATCTATCATCTACATAATCTATTATCTACCTAATAATCATTCACCATCTACTTAAATATCCATATACCCATGCATGTACATTCATGTATCCATTGCCCTATCATATATCTTTCTCTTTTGTTCGTTTGATTTTTTTTTTGAAACAGGATCTCACTATATAGATGAAACTTACTATGTAGACTAAGATGAACTCGAACTCACAAGAGATTCACCTGCCTCAGCCTCACGAGTTTTGATTTAAGGGCATGCGTCCCTATGCCCAGCTCTATCCATTTCTTACACACGTGTACATCCATCT